AAACTTAAATATATATATATATATATATATATATATATAGCATAAAACATCAATAACTATACATATGATCACATATTCATTTCATCTTCAACACTATCAACAATACCACATAACTCAACAAATATATATTAACATGAACAACTCAAGATATTACCACTCAATAATCAACTTTAATACCACAACATAAACCACATAGGTCATCAACACTCAACAAGGCATTTTCAACAGAGTATATACAACACATGTTATACAACACAACACTAGGTACATCTTCACATACTTCAACTAAGAGATCCCTTACAACACAAGGTGAGAAGTTTAAGTAGTTTGACTCTATCGAACCCAACAACATAAGGTGATCTTTTTTTGCTTACTGGATCAATAGCAAATTAGATGCCAATCCACAATACAATAACTTGATTTTTAGAATATCGTCACTTAAACAAGGAAGATTAGTATTATTGTCAGGATACAACAATTGGGTATAGGTTTACCATGACATTACTAACTTAACCAAGTCTTCTATGGGATTAGCCATTTGACTACCCTCCAAATATTATGCCCTTCCGATACTTGGTTAGAAACTAGGTTTCCAACTTTGTTCTTTATTCAATTAGTTGTTTTATACACGTGTGCCTCGACTTTGCACACACACAAGGTACCAACTAAGTCCTAGGGGAGATTCAACATAATGATCATCTTCAAGGTTCAACTTCCCAATAAGGATTTTCAACAAAGTTGGCTTCTCAAAGCACCACAACAAATATCCATACAATGAGATATACAACTTTTAAAACATCACCTCTAGTTCTAGTTTGGTCATCACAAGTCAACAACACCATGTTTAAATGCCTAAAGCATTCCCATCATTCATCATCTCAACAACATAGCAATTTCATGCATTTAGAAAATTCAACACAACTACAAAACCACACAACCTACAACTCAACTCAACTTTCAACTAGCAACTCACAACATATCAACTTTCAACACATTGATTTCCTTATCATATAACATCATCCATACAACTTATTCATCCTTATTTAGTCATAAATCAACTCAAACAACAAGTCTTCAACATACAACTCGTTAATCAAGTAAGCAACCAACTCAATTAGAAATGAAAATATTTTACTGAGTTTTCACGCGAAGTGTCAAGCTTCTAAAGAGTTATGTAGAAATTTTGAAATTTCCCACGTTGAGCGGCTCTCACGCTTAGCCTCAACTTCCCAGAGAACATCCAACCCTCACACTAAGTGTCAAACTCCACACTTAGCCTTAGCCTTCCAAAGGCACATTTTAGTTCTCACGTTAAGCGTGAAAAACCACGCTTAGGCTGAGAATCCCATAAACTTTTGCATCAATCACTACAAGAAAAATGATAAATTGCGACGGACAAATTGCGATGGTTATCTAGAAACCGTCGTCGCTTTGATATTGCGACCCTTCATACGACAGTTTTTCAAAACCGTCGCAAAATTGTTCAACATTGCGATGGTTTATCGTAAACGGTCGCAAAATTTGTTTAACATTACGATGGTTTATCGTAAACCGTCGCAAAATTTGTTTAACATTGCGACGGTTTATGATAAACCGTCGCAAAATTGTTCAACATTGCGACGGTTTATCGTAAATCGTCGCAAAATTTGTTTAACATTGGGACAGTTAATCATAAACCGTCGCAAATTTTTTTTATATTGCAACAGTTAGTCATAAACCGTCACAAAATTTTCAGCATTGCGACGGTTTACTATAAACTGTCGCAATCTACAAGACAATTTTTTTTATTAGAATTTAAAAGTTTTTTTTTGAAGTATTATGTATATTATCTTAATGAACTTATATTTTATTATCAATTTTATATATACTTCCTTTAACAAGAGGTATACAATTTTTTTTTCTTTCTATAATTTTAAAATCGTGACTAGAATAT